AATCGGTGCTAAAAATCTGTACCAGATGACCGTTTAAATTAAGCGGCGGTCGATCGTGACTTTTTCGCGGTCGACCGCGAGGCAGCTCAGAAACTGAGTAAACTTCCAGAGACTTCTGCGGTCGACCGTGGCGGTCGACCGTGACGGTCGACCGTGGGAATTCTCGAGCTCATGGTTTCTACTGCCCACTAACGAATGAACTCAGGCGCGGTCGACCGTGGCGGTCGACCGCGAACTGATACACTCAAAAAATAGGTTTTTGACTCACTTAAAATATTTGTAAAATATTCATTTGACTTCTGAAAATTGTGAAACTTTATAAAATATTTTTAATAATAAAAACAAATTATTTGGAAAAGGAATTTTGCAAATAGGTCCTCATACTTGTGAAAAATAGTATTTTGTGAAATACGCTCAAAAATATAAATATGAAAACGTGTGTGTGATATCCCAATAGCTTCAGATGAAATCTAAACTATTTGCCTATATTTTAGCACTAGAGAGAAAAATAAAAACTAGCTAATATCCTCTTGTAAAATACAATTCTTTGAGTCTTGATATAGCTTGAGTTGGATGGAGCTTTTTATTGCATTTAGTGTTCTTGAATGAACATTGCTTCATCACTATGCCTCCTCCTCCTTTGGATATCATCGTTGTAGCATATATTCCATCCAATCATCCATTTGTGGTACTAACATGCTTGATATGTATATTAACTGCATTATCACTCAATAAACAATTAGTACCGATAATGGTGGTTGTAAAACATCATCAAAACATAAGGGCTAACAAGTAAGCTCAGAGCAGCTGCAAAAACTAAAACTTAATTCTATCTACTAGAGACAAAAGAAGAAATTTCCACTAATTATTACCAAAAAAGGCCCAAAAAGAGACAAAAAAATCCACAACTTTAGAACTACCCACATAACAAATGCAAGTATTATCCATAAAAATTCAATAAAATTGGAAGGGAATGATCAAAGGGGAAAAGCTTCAAGTGGAAGAATCTTCAAGAACTAAGTTTAGATACAAGAGAAAAAAAGAGGAATTTCCCACTATTTTCTACTAGAAAAGATCCAAAATGATAAATTTCCACGATTTCAACCTCCTAACGAATTAAATGCAAGTTTGTTCCACAACCAATCAACAAACCCATAGATTTTAACAACATTAACAGCTCAAATCTCAGATCTACAAACAATTAATAGAAAAAGATCTCAAACTTCCATCTAAAGCATCACAAACTAACTCAAAATTGTCAAATTACCTTCAATTTCTTGAGTTGGCTATTCAAACCCCGAGAGAAGCCTTCAAAGAGAGCGCGAAGAAAGGAATCGAGCAGCGGTGAGAATTAGAGTTGGTTGACCAGCGAAGCACGATATCACAGCTCAGAGATCCTTTGCTTTGTTCGACTTTAACAAAAACTTCTCCCTTTCACGTTTCACAAGAAGATTGAGAATGGATATAAGAGAGGAATTAGTTTGCGGGAAATAGAGGAGGGCGACGAGAACCCAGCGGGAAGAGGCGGCAGATTATTTGGTAGCGGAAAGAGAGGCGGCAGGTCAGATTTCAGGGCAGGAAGAGGAGGCGGCGGTTAGGAATTGGCAGCGGGAAATAGAGGCGAGTAAAAGAGGAGGGAAGCGGTGACGGGAATGAGGGTTTTGGTTTCGGGAGCTGAGAAAAAGGATGAGCTGGATGGATTTTGTCAGATATCCACCCCATATCCCACATGAATGAGAGGATTTTACAAATCCTAAAATATATTACTTTTTTATTATTTGGAGATTCAATATTCCAAAACTAATTTTGAAACAAACAAGTTTTATGGAATACCAAAACTCAAAAAAACCTCTTTTTACATCCCAAAACTTGAAATCCACCATTTTCAAATAAAAAAATAAAATAAAATCCACCCTATATCAAAAAAAAAAAAAAAAAAAAAAACCCCAAAGAGAAGGCCCAATAATTCATTCACATTTGCCAAATCAAGATATGACATGATTTACGACTATACAGTGTAGTCACACCATCCGCGCTTCTGATATCAACGAATCTAACAAACAAATCTCAGCCGTCCATATCCATCGACGCACCAACTTATAATCCACGCTGTTCTTGCACAGTAGGGATTTCGAGGCGTTAGGGTTTTCTAATTTCCCTCTCGTTCGGTCGAATTCAGAAAAAAAAAAAAAAAAAAAAAAAAAACCCCTAAGAGAAGGCCCAATAATTCATTCACATTTGCCAAATCAAGATATGACATGATTTACGACTATACAGTGTAGTCACACCATCCGCGCTTCTGATATCAACGAATCTAACAAACAAATCTCAGCCGTCCATATCCATCGACGCACCAACTTATAATCCACGCTGTTCTTGCACAGTAGGGATTTCGAGGCGTTAGGGTTTTCTAATTTCCCTCTCGTTCGGTCGAATTCAGAGGTGAGATCTAATCCCAATTCCTAGAGAATCATAGGGTTTTGTTAAGGTTTTCGCTCGCTCAACTGTCTAGTGTTTAATTTCCTCTCAAATTTTGCTGGTTCGTGTAGAATTTTGCTGGCGAGTTGCTGATCCGAGTGAGGGATTTCCTGCAAAACGCGGTAAATTTCAATAAAAATCTCATCTTTGTAATACCGCTCAGGCTTTTGCCTCTAATTTCCTGATTACTGTTGGATTGAAATCTATGTACTCAATGTTAATTGAACCTTTTTCTATGCATGCTGATATGACAAGCTCTAATTTTGAGCGATGATGCTCTAAACAAATGTATTTGAGTAATGATTTCATGCCCTTTTGTGTTGATTCATGCACCATGCAATTAACCTAGTCTGTCTCAAAAACTTTTTATTTTTTTCAATTGCATTGAATCGCAAAATACTTTTTGGAAGAAATTGGATGTTGTTGCATTTGGCTTCATGTTGTAGTCATTTACATCTCTAGGGAACTTCAACGAGATTTACAGTTGTTTGATGTCTGATGTTTTCTACTTACTGCAACGTGGAAGGAGGGGATAGATGGTTAGGCATATTATTTCACTTCAATGTTTAAAACTTTTTTTCGGTGTTAGCATGAGTGAAGCTTAGGATAAGGTGACTAACAAATGATAACTATATCAAATGCTACAAACGTTTAAGAAGTTCAATTTACATAGCAAAAAGAGAATTAAACCGAGCACAAATGGGTTGTGAGAAAAAATAAAAGAAAATGTAAGATTCATGGAATAGTTTTGAGCTTCTAAAATTTGTAGGAGAAAATCATATGTAAGAAGTTTAAGTCCAGTTAGCTACCCTACCAAGTTAATGAAGTCACGATGAAAGGGTGACCAAGAGATGAGCTTTTTCTATTGAAAGAAGAGGAAATATTGAGCATGTTTCATTTATTTTGTCATGTTGTGCTTATATCTGGACAGTTGCACGTAATAAATAATAGTATTAAGAAACAAAACACAACAAAGATGTGAAATTAATATGGTGGTTATATTTGGATAAATGTTGGGAAATTTGAGGACTTGGAAAGTAAAGAAGCAGCTTGATAGTCTGGACTATACAAGAAAAATTGTAAATTACATGTGTGATTGTGTGGTGGATCTTCCATTCGTCAAAAAGGCCGTTCCTTCTTTTTAAAGACCAATTATATTTTTATATATGAGATAATGGAAGAGATGGCGAGCCGTATCAATGATTCTCAATGGAGGATTGGGGCTTTTTTGACCAATTCTTGTTCAAGTCCAAAAAAATCCGTTCGAGAAAGAAGAAGATCAATTTAGGGTTGAACCAACAACCTGAGCAATAAGATTTTTTGTGGTGTAGATACATTTAGTACATTAGTATGCATGTATTGCTGTCTTCCCACATATTGCATTCTACTTTTACGGTGTGTTTGGCATTTCATTGTGGTAGGGTAAGCAAGATGGGAAGGTAAGGGAATTTTCTTCCCCTCAATTCCACCCCAATTTGGGGGCTAAACAAAGTTTCTATTGATTGGAGGGGAATGAGGGGTAATAATGCACATCTTAAAAACTTCCCAAATGGAGCTAAAGGGTTCCCCTACCTTCCCTTTTCCCCTATTCTCCTTTATCCAAACAGGGTGTTAAGGATTGGGAGTGTCATCATTGTATCAGTATAAGCCTGCAGCATGTTGTAAATCAGTGCCCATGCTTGCCAGTGTAGAAATCATTTAAAGTTCTACGTTTATATATTCCTAATGGAAAAAATAAATAAAAATATAATGTGCATAGCAAATTGTTGCAGCACGCACCATTATGCTCATTTGCAGAACATTCGAGGTCTGTCAAATAATCCATCTGCTTTAGTGGACGTTTTGATTCATTTCTCTGTATTCTTTCTTGTGGTTTTTTCTTTAAGTCTGTGCCTGTTTTCCTTTCATTTACATATTCACCTTTGTAGCATTTCTACTGCTCATGCATGATTGCTCTAATTATTATTTCCTGATTTACTTTCTGCAGTGCAAAAATGCGTCGGCATGATGACCGATATGGTGGCACTCGCCTGTATGTTGGGCGTTTGTCATCCCGCACTCGATCACGTGACCTTGAACGTCTTTTCAGTAGATATGGAAGGTAATGTGACGGCTAATAAAGTAAATGTGATGTTTTGACTTCTGACTTCTGAGTCCAGCTGATTCAGTTCTTAATTAACTCCACCTTTTTCATCATTTAAACTTTCTTTTCAATGGTTGTCGTTGCATCTGTTTGCATGATAAAGCTACAATATTTATTCTTTTAATTAAGCTTGTTTAATACATACCTCACCATCTGATATTGGTTCTGCAGTCTCCATTTCCATGTTAATAACTTTGCCTTTTTTTTCCCTTTGTCTTGACAATTTTCTGCTTCCAAACTGAGTAATAACTATTATATTGTTGTTTTGGGGCAACCACATAGTCCATTATTTTTCACTTTACTGGGCGTTCTATTCATATCTCTATAGACTTCCTAACTGAGTAAAAACTCACACATACACACACCTACTTTTTCTATCAGTGAGTAATTCACATGGGTGATGATGGATCACTGAGATGGTAGGAGACAAACCTCTGTGAAGCTACCGTTCTGTGCGAGGTTTCTATGTTCTATATTTCTTTTATTATCTTAGAAGGTCAAACCCAGACATTGTGTCTTAACTTGAATGATATTGTTGAAGGTTTTTGGGTATTTTACCCAACCTGGAGGTCTGTGATGAGAGGATGCCCTGGGTGTGGAATGGTGGCTATTCTCTCAAAAGTTAATAGGAGATTTTGGCGATTCTTTCTGTAGTGTTATTGCGTGTTTTATTGGATATCGCAACAATCACAAAGTAAAAATGGTGTTTAGTTCATCTTCTGATGGGCGAAGTATCATTCGCTTCGGTACTTTAAGTCATGGCCTTACTGTTTCTGCAACAATTTCCGCAGAGTGCGAGATGTGGACATGAAGCATGACTTTGCATTCATTGTATGTATCTCTTCCCATCGCAGTTTTTAGTTGTTCGTTCTCCATATGCTGCTTGATTCTTCAGAACTCATATCTGTGACCCTTTTATTTTATTATCGTATGTAAATCTGTTTTTTTTCCAACGCATTTTTTGCCCTGGCCTGCTCCTGCTATGTCACAGGAATTTAGTGATCCTCGTGATGCTGATGATGCAAGATACAGCTTGAATGGGCGGGACTTTGATGGAGGTCGTCTGTTGGTGGAATTTGCTAAGGGGGTAAGTGGTAAAAAAATAAGCATACTTTGAGTAAGGGTTATTTTGCACTTAAATACCCCAAACTTTACCTAATCTTGAACATTGATACCCCAAAGTTTCTTTTTGCCCAAAAACTACTCCAAGGTTTAAACAAATTTAACCTGATACCCCAAACTTTTCTTTTGCCCAAAACATACCCCAAAGTTTAACAAAATTTAACTTTGATACCTCAAACTTAATTTTTTTACTTAAATTTATGTAAAACTTTGGGGCATCTAAGTTAATTGTTTTTAGAAGTTTGGAGTTTGAAAGTTAAACTTGTTGACCTTTGGGGTATTTTGTTGGTCAAAAGAGAACTCTGGGACTGCATATCAAAGTTAAAAATGGAGTAAACTTTGGGGTATGTAAGTGCAAATAACCCTTCCTTTGTTTTTCTTCTAGTGAAGCTGTTGTGTTATCGTCTCATTTCAGATTACTCTGTAGTAGTCACGATGATTATTTCAAAATCACTATTTTAGCACTTAATTATTTTCACTGCTTGTAGACTCCCCGTGGGCCTGGAGGTTCCCGGGAGTATCTAGGAAGGGGCCCTCCTCCTGGATCTGGTCGATGCTTTAACTGTGGGCTTGATGGTCACTGGGCAAGAGATTGCAAGGCTGGCGACTGGAAAAACAAGTGTTACCGCTGTGGAGAAAGAGGCCATATAGAAAGAAATTGCCATAACAGTCCTAAAAGTCTCAAGTAACCAATAAACCTTTCATTTTGGTTCTTAAAGTTTATGTGAACAGTTAGATATTGAATACCTTGTCATCTGGTTAATTGGCTTCCATGGAATATTCTGCAGGCGTGGACGGAGTTACTCAAGGTCACTTTCTCCTCGGCGTGGTAGGAGCCGCAGTCGAAGTTATAGCCGTGGTCACAGTTACAGGTATTAATTAATTCTAGGTCAGTAAGATTTGAGTATGCTTGTTTGTTTTTATTCAATGTCTGTAAGCTAAAGAAGGAAGTTTAATTTTTTTAATAGTGACCATAGACTAGTTACAAGCCTTAATTTGCTCTGGCTTTTCTGTATTCTAACTTATCCCTCGTGGCTAGGAAGGGGCATGTCATATTCCTCTTTTTGTGCTTTAAATCAAGCAATTGCAGTTCCAATCTCGTTTAGTTCATGTCATAAATCCATCTCTTTCTTTGACTAGACTTATATGTTCATTTGGAGATGCCCAACTCACTTGGCCTGGAATGCCTCTCCGAACTAGTAACTACATAATGGGATGAAAGCATATCTTCACTCTACTTCCACTAAGACAAACGAAACAACCCTAGCTCTATATCTTTATCACTTCATTAATGAATAGATTCAACCCGACAAAGGATCGAAAAAGCCCCTAGACATGAGTCATTTCTTCCAAGGAATCACGTGTCTCTAATTACTGAAATTCTAATACATCCGATATTTGTTATGCATTTTTGTATACATTCTATATTTGGCCGACGGTAATTGAATACTTCCCACTGTTCGCAATATGCGTTGTTGCAGCGGGGGCTTCACAGACACGAAAGATGTCTATACACGAGTGGAGAATAACAACACTGAATAAACACAATGAAGACAAAAAGAACAGCACACAAAGATTTAACGTGGTTCGGTCAGTATGACCTACGTCCACGGGCGAGAACAGCAGAAAACTTTACTAATCATAAAAGAGAAGATTACAAAAGAGATCACTCTCTAACTTGAGAATCTCACAAAAAAAAAAAAATTCTCTTTCTGTCTCTCTCCCTCTCTAATTTTTCTCTCCGTTTGTCTGCTCTGAGCTCTCTTCCACCCCTTTTTATAACATTTAAATATTAATTAAAAATTAACAAATGGTTGGTGACACAATAATATTAGGTGGGTTTGGTGGAACAGTGACGGTTAGGTGAGTGTTGAATTCAACGTCATATAATAACGAACTGTACGATGATACACAATACGTTCATTCTTGCAGAACTGGTCAAGCATAACACTTTTAGAAAGCTCGGTGCATGCTCTCTAATACCGGTTTGTCAAAAGATTTTTGGACCGAGACAATCGATATAACTTGCTATTTGATAAACATATCTCCTTCTACAACAATTGATTTCAAGACTCCAGAAGAGGTATGGTCTGGTGTCCTTGCTAATTACTCTCATTTAAGAGTATTTGGTTGCTCTGTTTATTTTCATGTTAATGATGATAAGCTTGAATCCAGAGCAAAGAAAGCTATCTTTTTAGGATATGCTACTAGGGTGAAGGGATATAGGTTGTGGTGTTTTGATCCCAAATCATCTAAGTTTATTATTAGTAGAGATGTTATTTTTGATGAGAAATCCATGCTTCACCCGAGAAAGGAGTTTGTTATTGACACTATAGGTACTGAAAAGGAGTCTAGCAAGCTGGTGGAGCTAGAGAGCTCAGCTTAAAGAGAGTGCTTGAAGGCGTTCATCTTGAACCAGTTGATACTACGGAAGGTTCAACTTCAAATGCTGATACACCGTAAGAGCAACAGTATAATATTATCACTGGGAGAACAAAAAGGCAAATCCGACCTTAACGTTATGCAGACATGCTTGCTTATGCTAGCAGAGTCGATTGAGATTCCAGAGCTTTCTACCTATAAGGAGGCTATTAGTGGCAACGAGGTTGCAAATTGGACTATTGCGATGACTGAAGAGATGGAGTCTCTTCACAAGAACCAAACATGAGAGTTAAGAAGCCACCAAGAGGACTAAAGATCGTTGGCTGTAAATGAGTGTTTAAGAAGAAAGAAGGAACTCCGGATACAGATTCTGTAAGGTACAAGACATGCTTGGTAGCTAAAGGCTACAGTCAGACAGAAGGTGTAGACTTCAATGAAGTATTCTTTCCAGTTGTAAAACACATCAATCTTCGTGTTGCTTGTCATGGTTGCTCATTTTAATTTAGAGCTTGAGTAACTTGATGTGAAGACGACTTTTCTACATGACGAGCTTGAGAAACAGATCTTTATGCATCAGCCAGAGGGGTTCATTGTTGAAGGAAAAGAAGATCATGTGTGCAGGTTGAAGAAATCTGTTTATGGGTTAAAACAGTCTTCGAGACAGTGGTATTTGAGATTTGATACTTTTATGTTTGAGCGTGGTTACTCTAGGAGTAAATATGATAGTTGTGTTTATCATAAAAAGCTCAATGATAGTTTTTTTTTGTGTATTTACCTTTATATGTTGATGACATGTTGATTGCAGCTAAAGATATATCAGAAATCAACGAGTTGAAATCTCAACTCAAACATGAGTTTGAGATGAATGACTTAGGAGCAGCAAAGAAGATTTTAGGGATGAAGATCCACAGGAACAGGCGAGAAGGAAGTTTATTCCTATATCAGGAGAAATACATTAAGGTGTCGGAGAGATTTGACATGCTTGATACTAAGCCTGTGAAAACTCCGTTTGCTGCTCATTTTCGTCTTTTAGTAAATTTATCTCCTCAGGCTGAGGAGGAGCAATACATTTCTTGTGTTCCTTATGCTAGTGCAGTTAGAAGTATTATGTATGTTATGGTCTGCACCCGTCCACATATTTCACATGCAGTCAGTATTGTGAGTCGGTATATAGATAAGCCTAAAAAGGTTCATTGGCAGACTGTAAAATGGATACTTAGATATTTGAGAGGATCTGCTAATATTGATTTGTATTTTGGTAGGAACACAAACTCATATTGCAGAATACTTGGCTATTTTGATTCAGATTATACGGACGATTTGGATAAGAGACTATCCTTGATAGGGTTATATATTCACTCTTTTAGGTAGTACCATTAGTTGGAAGGCGATCCTACAGTTGACAGTTGCTTCTATCACAGAAGCAAAATATATGGGCAGTGATAAAAGCTGTGAAAGAAGCCATTTGGTTGAGAGGTTTGGTTGAAGATCTCGGCTTACACCAAGGTGTTACTACGGTATTTTGTGACAGCCAGAGTGCTATACATTTGACGAAACATCAGATGTATCATGAAAGAACCAAACATATAAATGTCATGTATCATTTTATCAGAGAAATTAAAGTCATCAAAAATAAAAAGATTGGTACTGCAGATAATCCAGCAGATATGCTGACGAAGCCCGTATCTTCGCGCAAGTTCAAGCATTGTCTCGAATTGCTTGGAGTTCAATAAAACGGAGGTTAAGCCTGTAAGGGGCTTCTAGCGAGACAACAAGAATGAAGAGAAGATCTTCATATTCAAAGTCAAGGTGGAGATTTATTATGTGACTTTGAATTTCAACACTCACCTAACCGTTACTGTTCCACCAAACCCACCTAATATTACTGTGTCACCAATCATTTGTTAATTTTTAATTAATATTTGAATGTTATAAAAGGGGGTGGGATAGAGCTCATAGCAGACATATGAAGAAAGAAAAATTAAAGAGAGAGGGGGAGAGAGATAGAAATAGAAATCTTTCTTTGTGCGATTCTTTGGTTAGAAAGTGATCTCTTTTGTAATCTTTTTTTTTGTGATTAGTAAAGTTTTTTATTGTTCTCGTCTGTGGACGTAGATCATATTGACCGAACCACATTAAATCATTGTGTGCTATTCTCTTTGTCTTCACTGTGTTTATTCAGTGTTGTTATTCTCCACTCGTGTATAGACATCTTTCGTGTTTGTGAAGCCCCCGCTGCAACATGTGTGATTACCTTGGCTGGTGCAGGAAAAGTATTGATCCTGGCAAGAAAAGTATGACTATGTTAGAACGAGCTGAGCTAGCTAGCAGATGATTATTTGGGATGTTAAATATCTCGAAGTCCATTCTAACCATTAGACTAGAGCTTCGTAGTTATGGTGAGGGTGTAGAGTTATATTTTTATATTCTAACATGCCCCCGCAAGTGAGCGACCTTTTTTATGGGCCGAAATCTGGACTCACGCAGCGATGTTAAATTTTAGAAAATCCGCTTTAAATTCGTAGCCCGTGGGATTTGAACCTGAGTTGTTAGTATACTATTTTAAAATATCTCTAACCATTACGCTAGAACTCCGAAGTTGTGGTGAGGATTTGGGGTTATATTTTCATATTCTAAAAAAATCAGCTAGGGGAAATAATTCCCATATGATCCAAATAAAATAGTTATGAGGTTATTATTATTTAGGGTTTTTTAGATATTAGTCCCTTAAATCATACCTATTTTGTATTAGTCCCTCAAATCGTCATATTTTTATATTAGTCCTTCAAATTGCATTAAGTTGTTGGTATTTGTCCTCTGTCAACATTTCTGTTAAAAACACTCAACCCTGATTAGGTTAGGCTTAACCACATGTGGCTAGTTACCTGAATACCCTCATCCATTATTCCCCCAACTTACACTAAATTTCCCCTCTCTCACACACTAAATTTCCCCTCTCTCACACTGTCTCTTCTACCTCCTGTTCTCTCCTTCATGATTAGGATTTCTGATCTAGTTTGATTTCACCACTGAAAAAGAGCAAGTGCAGTCAAATCCATTGCTTTGGAGTGAAAACGAAGAATGCCCATGAAAAATCCCTTGGTGAGTGAAGATGAAAAATCCTTTCTTACAATGATAAATTGTTCCCTTTAATTTTGGATTTTTTTCTTGCTTCTTCTTTTTGGGGATTTTAGTGTTATGGTAGTTCTAATAGATGTGAGGTTTTCTAGTGTTAGAATGTGCCCTAATTTTGCCCTAATTTTAGGCCCAATTTCAGTAGAATTTTTTGTATGTCTGTTAATATCTTATGAATTCAAAGATTTAGGCTCAATTTCAGTAGATTTTGTGGTACTTTGTGGCTACATCTTCATTTCAATAGATTTTTTTTTCTCAATAGATTTTTTTTCTCTGTGGATTTTAATCGATCCCGATTTGAGTAGATTTACGGCTCGATTTAGCATTTTTCTTCTCTATCAATTTCCGTCATTATATATTTTTTTTCGAGGGAAGTATTTTTTCAGAGCTGTCTGGAGGGCTGATTGTCACGATCTTAATTCTTTTCAATTCCATGTTCAAGAGCACTGCATTTGGTTATCGAAAACCAAATCAAATGCATTTTGATGTATTTGAGAGAAATGTCGGAGGCTGGAAATTCTTTGCTGGCTCATCATTCAACTTATTCATGTTAATTTTCCTACTACTCAGTCAAGAGGTAGAGTTGTCACAATCATTCAACTGATTCATGCTAATTTTCCTACTACCCAGTCAAGAGTTAGAGTTGTCACAATCATTCAACTGATTTATGCTAATTTTCCTACTACTCAGTCAAGAGTTAGAGTTGTCACAAATAATTGGGCGTTCATATCTTTGATACTTGGAGAGGCCGTTCTTTTTATGGGTTCCCAGAAACTTCAACGCTGGGGAAGAAGATGAAGTTGGGTTTGTTAATGGGTTCAGGTTCTTTTAAGTATGAGTTTGGGTTTTGTTATGAGGGACATAACTGTCCATTACTGCCTAACGTTAAAGTGAACGGAATATTCTCTTACATTTTTAACATCAACTAACTACAGGGACCAATATTAACAAATTAATGCAATTTGAGGGACGGATATTAAAATATGAAGATTTGAGGGAGTAATATCAAAATGGCTATGATTTAAGGGACCAATATCTAAAAATTATTTATGATCAAGTGTATCAATATTGGCTGCTACATTATATTTCTTCAAAGATCGCAAAGAAAATGGAGAGTTTCACATGGCTTCTATGGTTAATCATAACCCTTCAAAGATCTGTATTTATAAAATTAAGAAAGAAATTGAACTTTCGGACTGGAGGGGTACAATGGTTGATAAAAGCATGCAAAATTAGTTGACCTCCAGTTTTAAGCGAAAAAGTCGGGAGATTTAGCTGTATGTCGATGTGTTTGGCAACCCTTACATATATTGGCCCAATTTTATTATAAACCAGGCCGGGTTTAAACCAAGGGGTAGGTGATCCAACAAAGAACTAAGGAAAATTGGTCAAATTGGGCCAATTTCTCCCAAACAAAGTTTTGCCCAAAATGGGGCTAGAATAAATCCTGGCTCCAGTGGTTGCCAAACACACCTATCAACAATGAATTCGCTGTAAGTTAGAACCGTTAGCGTTGATAATGTCATCTGCTGCACAATAAACATCTGAAGAGAGGGCTAGAAACCTAGTGCATCGATTGCACCAAGACTAACTCATTTAAAAGAAACAGGTCATGTTCGTGCCTTATGCACATGCACACGCTTCTAGTTCTAGTTGGTTGCAGACAAATTTTAGGAACCAGTTACGACAAGAAATATTGTACCTGTAATTTAGTTGTTTGTTTGATTAAACTTTCTAGTTAATGGTTTAATTGCGCATAGACACATGTAGTTTCCTTGTTTTGGACGAACTTACTACTTCTGTAGTTAATTGTTGCGGGTAAACCCCCTGTGAATTTATTTTCACTCTTTTACCCTCAGATACACCAATTTCCCCCATGGGCAGTGTCCCAAAATTTCACCAAGGGTAAAAGAGTCAAAAGGATGCAGGGGATCTATCTGCAACAATGGAACTGAAGGGGTAGTAAGTGCACCCCAACAATACTGCAGGGGGATCTATGTGCAATCAACCCCTTTTTCTCCAAGAAATCCCTTTCAATTCAATTGCATATTTATGTCGGTTACCAATTTTCACTGTCATCCACCAGTCGATCCAGATCTCCTCCAAGGAGAGGTGGGCGTAAACGTGAGAGATCAAGGAGCCCTAGCTACAGCAGGAGCCCAAAGCCAAGGAAGATGTCTCCACCTTCTGAAGAGCGGAAGCGAAGCCTCTCTCCTGCCAGTAGCCAGAGCCCACGAAAGCAGCTGAGCCCTTCGCCAAATGGAGTCAAAGAAACTGAGCGCAATGGATCAGAATACAGTGGAAGCCCTATGAGGAAGGAGAATAGCCCGAGTCCTAGAAGCTCGCCCGTGCACAGGAGGTCTGTGAGCCCGGAGACTAATGGAAGAGGCGCCAGCCCCGTGGATGATGAAGACAACCATGATTCTCCACAAGACTGATGATCTGCTCATAGAATGGAATAATCAGCGTGCTGTCTTTTATTAATATATCTTCTTTTATGTACTATTGACTATACTGTCCTTTTTGAATTGCAAACATGCTGCTTGTTCACATTCAAGTACTTCCTTGGTGTTGTGCTGTTGAGATTGTGATGTGGAATTTGATGTTGATGCATTATTATGATCTGGGGTTTGCTTTCTGGCTTCTATGTGAAGATGCAGATGGAAGGTCTTTGGTTTTTCTCCTTTGAAATTGCTTAGCAGCGTGTTGGAAAAAACTCAAAAAAGGTTAATGTAATCAAGCTAGGTCTAAGAAAATTGTTTTTTTAAACCTGGATATTCTATTTAGAAGGTATTAGAGAAATTTATTAAGGTCTAGCAAAAAATAAATTAACAAACGAATGGAAAGGAGAAAGAGTGCTTTTTTTTTTGTAATTTAAATAACCCAAACCAGAGTCGAACTCATGATTATCGACATAGTAGAAGCTCGGGGTCAATTTTGCATTACCTGTTTCCTTGCTGTATGCTGTCGATAACCAAACAGCGGAGCACCTTGCGCATCAATTTTATCCAAGTCCAACTCAAATCGTCGTCATCCGTACGCTACTTCCTGATCTTCACTTTACACGCAACACCGTCAACGCTGACAGCTCAGCAGAAGATAATGATTACCCAATTCTCAAACGACAAGCGTGGGCCCCGCCGCCAGCCAACGTGCTATTTACGAACATTGCTTCGGTGCTCAAAAAATAAAAATTTACTTAAAATTTAAACTCCTAAATAATGAAGAAACTTGTTAAAAATATAAAGGATATTTTGGTCATTCTTTATTTAATTTGTTTTTCTCTTTCCTCACAACGGTTTTCCTATCCTAATTGTTACCATCCGTTTTTTGCAAAATCCAATAAAACAACTTAGTATTATATTAGTTTTTTAAATCCAATAAAACAACTTAGTATTATATTAGTTTTTTAAATTTTAAAATGTCTAAGAAGAATTTAGATGATCTGAAAATAATTGATCAATAGACAACTTAAAGAATTGGTGATGTTTTTTTATAACTTTCTTCTTTCGTGATTATAAATACATAATATTAATATGTTAAAATTAATTTTTTTCTATTGAAATTTTCTCAAAAATTATTAATTATTGAACGTATGACATGAAAAGATAATGTTGCGATTCAAAAAAAAAAGTCTAAAGGAAACTCCATAGAAAATCTATAGGATAATAAATCAGGGCTGGTAGTTATAACTGTTTTCAAAGATCTGATTTTATCCCTTTTATTGATGAATTTAATTTCTAAAATACCCCTAAAGTTCCCCTTATTTACGGTTCTAGGTGTGGAAGAGAAGAGGAATTTTGGGTCAAAACTTGGTAAGCATTGACACCGGGGCTCCTAAATCAGCCTGTTGGAGCACCGAAGCTGTACTCGGTATTAAAACCCTCCACCAAACCAAGAGATCACCCAAATCTCACCGGCGGTGATGGGATCCGAGATCGACGACGGTTTCATCGAGCACAGGACTCACGCTCGCGTTGGATTCTTAGGAAACCCTAGCGACGTCTACTCTGGCCGTACGATCTCGTTCTCGCTCGGGAATTTCTGGGCTTCGGTTCGATTGGAGCCCTCGAAGGATCTCGTGATCGAGCCTCATCCTCATCATGATCTCGTTAGCTTCAGTTCGATTGCTCATTTGGTACCGATCTCTTCTTTTTTCTGTATTTTTTTTGGAATTCTTGTGAAATTTGGTGGGAGATCTAGCCCTCGAAGGATCACCATATTTGCAAATTTATCCCTCTTAAGATATTTGCATTTTTGGAGGGTAACCTAGCAAATGTCTAGTTTCGGGGAATGAACTTGCAAATATAGTTAGTCAGGGGGCATGTAGGTTAAATCCCCATTTTTGTTCTTGTTTTTTGAGGTTAATTTGAGTGTTGGCCGCACCCAGTTCTGGTTTAATGGGTACAAAAAATATTTTTTTTTGTAGGTTAATAGACTGGAAAGTGAGGGTTATTATGGAGGGGTTCGGTTGTTGATGGCTATCTGCAAAGTTTTCTATAAATACTGTGTGGATAATGGAATTGTGCTTAAAGATGGGAACTTTACATTGTCTTATGACACTAATATTCCTCGCCAGGTAATTTACTGTTTCGATCTCTAGAATTGAGCGTGAACTGGTGGAATTGAAGAATTTTTCAAAACAGACCCGCTTCAACTTTTTTTTCTTAAAACCGACCCATTTTTTTTTTATTTATCAAAACCGACCCGATTTTGTAATTAGCAGCTTAATCACCATCCTAAACAGTCGGGGTTGGCAACCCTGACTATTTAGGAAGGTGTTAAACCCTAATTAGAAGCCTTAAACCCTAAAAATTAATGTCCTAAATAGTCGGGGTTGCCAACCCCGACTGTTTAGGAATGTGATTAATCTGCTAATTACAAAATCGGGTCGGTTTTGATAAATAAAAAAAAAAGGGGTCGGTTTTAAGAAAAAAAAGTTGAAGTGGGTCTGTTTTGAAAAATTCTTCGGTGGAATTTATCGAAGGTGATCTGTTGACATGCGAAATATTTTTGGGCATTTGAATTTTCGTGGCCTATATTGATGCATAATCTTACATGTGTTTTGAATTTGGTAGTGTTTGTGATAATAGTTTATATGTACACTGATGTACAAAAATATAACTGGTCAAGTGTTATGTTATCTCGCTATTGTCCTTCGTATATTTGTCCACTTCTGGTAACTAAGACATAACTTCATATAGTTACTAGTGCTCCGGTGCATGCGATGCGTGCATGACGCGGTATAGGTGTATAATTCCGAACCGCATTTAATAACACAAAATTAATCAAATCAAAACCGTAGAGCAAAGGGGGGGAAATCAAAGAAAAACTTGTAATTACCTCTTGATATTAAAGCAAATTTTAGATGGAAAAAAAGATACTTAGAGGACATGGAGAAAGAGCATATTTGAATCCATTAAGGTCCTTTTCCTCTTTTTTGGAATTTTGGTAGAGATCTACCTGTGGGAATGAGAGATGTCTTACAGTAATTGTGGGATATGGATTTTTTTGCTTTCCAAATTTTCCCCTTTAATGAGTTTTAAATTACGTTAAATTGTAAAGAGATTTCTTGGAATTTTCTAAAATTGTGACATGGGGGTAGAACACCAAAATAATAAGACCAAGGCCAGGTTCTTTCAATAATAGTAATAGATAATATATAATTGTCTATGTGGAAGAAGTCTCATGAAGAATTAATGCTTTATAGAAGCAACAGGGGTTGTCGCATACCATAATTAATTCCCAACAATCCCATTTTATACCGCTTTTGTTTTAAAGCTCATATAAACTTATATGTTGAAACTGCATCGTGCTGATTCTTTTCCTATGTGCCTCACTATACGTTGCGAGTTAAATGGAGGACATTATGCTTTCTGTAGTATGGTGGGGATATAACTTTGCATCGTAGAATTTATAGTAGTAATACTTGCCTGGGAAATAGTCGAAAGGAAAAGTACAATATCATAGTCAATTTTGAGATCCTAATACTATGGAAAATATATATGAGGTACTTGGTGGATCTTTGTTATAATTAGATTGGACTGCTATTATGAGGTGGATTTTTAATATGTGTGATGTCTGATGTACATTTTAGATTGCTATCATTGCTGTTATGTTTGCTTGGATTCTTTACTTAGCAACGATGATAGTTATTGATGGATCTGATACATACATGTTTTCTTTTAAAGTTAACCTTTGTTTTATCTTCATTTCACCCTTTAACCATCAAATTGTAATGATTGTCCTCACAACAAAAACCTTGTTCTATTAATGTTTCAGACAGGTCTTTCTGGATCAAGTGCTATTGTTTGTGCTGCTCTAAATTGTCTCCTTGACTTCTACAATATTAGACACCTCGTGAAAGTTGAAATCAGACCGGAACTTATTCTTAGTGCGGAAAAGGAACTTGGAATTGTAGCAGGTCTTCAAGATCGAGTTGCACAAGTCTACGGAGGTCTTGTTTACATGGTATGTGATGACTTTTGGCTACTTAAGGATGACTACTTAAGGGGGGCAAAAAAAAAAGGGAAGATCTTGAACAACCACACTAACCACTTGAAATTGAATTTTCAGGATTTCAGTAAGGAACATATGGACAAAATGGGGCATGGAATGTATACACCAATGGACATTAGCCTCCTTCCTCCTCTCCATCTCATTTATGCTGAAAATCCTAGTGATTCTGGGAAGGTTGGTCTTGCCTTCTTTTTTGTATTTGGTGAAAAGTTGAAATCTCATATTTCGAAATGTTATTTACTTTGTTTCTTAACTTCTGGAAATGTATCTACTCTAGGTTCACAGTACTGTACGTAAAAGATGGCTTGACGGAGATGAGTTCATCATATCATCAATGGATGAAGTGGCCAAGATTGCTCTTGATGGTCGAAGTGCTTTGCTTGAAAAGAAATACTCTGATTTGGCACAGCTTATGAACCGCAATTTTGATCTTCGGAGGTAACAATATTGACTTATGACTTAATTTGTCTTGGAGGGATCTTATTCTATTTCTTACTCTGTTGCTTACATCCTCTCCCAACTGGACTTTAGTATTTTCCTTTACGTCTTTAAGTGACACAGGTAGTGCTTGGTAGGATGAGAAAAGTTAATGAATGCGAAGTAAATTGTATAAAATTTCACTGCAGAACTTTATAATACATTTTAGGCATAGAGTTGTATATTGATTCTGCATTGGCGTTAAGGAACTTTCTAAGTCTCGAGCTAATATAATTCTGGTGTTTACTATAGTTTATAGAAATTAAACATCAGGGATATCAATTGAAGATTTGTCTATAACTAGTCTCTACCAAGCAGTTTGCATCATTTCATCATTGGATACACTCGAGAAATAGCTCATGCTTTATACAATTGAATTATCACTTATTTGTGAATGATTGTTGGGTCTAGGCAAATGTTTGGAGACGAAGTGCTCGGTTCTCTAAACTTGAAAATGATCGAAGTAGCAAGGAGTGTCGGGGCTGCGTCCAAATTTACTGGCAGCGGAGGCGCTATTATTGCATTTTGCCCTGAAGGTCCTGCACAGGTGAAGCAACTTGAGGATGCCTGTCAAAAGGCTGGTTTTATCATACAGCCAGCAATTGTTGTTCCCTCTGTGCTTACTGAAGAGGACCTCAAAACACTGTCCTAGTTTTAAATTTGGGTCACCTTTATTACCTTAATGTTTATTCAAATTGGAATAAGAATGCAACCTTTGGTGGTTATGGATTTCTATGTTATTTCTTTTCTTGCATCGGGGGTTAATTATGTGTTTTGAGTTTTTTTTTTCCCCTTTCCGCTATAGCTACTTGTGTATATGGGTGATGCTCGTGTGTATATTTTTAATTATGTGTCTGGAGTGCGTGGGCTCGAGCTTATTCAGTTATTTTATCGGAGGTTAATTATGTGTTTTCAGTGTTTTTGCAGCCATAGATACTTTTGTATACGAGTTGTATATTTTTTTTGTAATGTGTGGAGTGGGCTTGAGCTTTTCGATCTTGTTTAAAGAAGTATACATTGTGAAAAGTAATCGGGGAAGGGGTAGTCTTGATTTGGATCATATTTGAGTACGAATTGGATATTGGATCTATGATTTTGAGTTGTCTACAGAGGAAAAGAAAGTTAGATTTCAGGTCTGGCGTATATCATCGACATGAAATTTAATATTTTCCTGATGCTATGAAACATAAATAGGCTTAAATCTGTTACGTATAGCCGTACAGGCTTCATGTGCTCTTTTCTATCTAAATTCCTCAGGCCTATTAATATTCCTATTGATTACAATAAGATAATATGATTGGTCTCATAACACATTTATAGCCGCACCACATCATGCCAGATTATCCTACACCAATTCTATACTACAAAAGACATGCTCTGAAAATTCTTTTGAACTTGAAAATGTAAACACGTGATGGGGGGCCACCACATGAGCGAATGAGAAATCATCCCCTCGTTTCCGTGTGATTAGCATGCCAGGCCCACCCGATCTTCACACTATAAATAATGGTGTGGTTTCCTAGGGCAACGTGGTGCAAGGCAGGAGTTTTCTTCGTAGCCGCCAACGAAGAAAAAGCAAAGGACTTGGGCGTGCAAGGCTGGGAAAAGACAGGAGCAAAAGGAGCGGCTACAGTTCAACGCAGAGACTTGGCGGCGTGGATTTCGGCAGCGTGAAAGATTTTTCGGCGTGCTGAAGGGAAATTCGGCAGAGGCTGAGTCGGCTGTTGTCTAGGGTTTTGTGTAGCCGTTTTTTTAGGGTTTTGACATCCTTTTTGAGAGAGATTTTGTGTGAGGGATCTGAGAGTTTGTGAGAGGGTTTAGATTGTGAGATTGTAAACCCCAGTTGTATCTCTCCCTCTAATAGTAGATCTCCCCCCTCCTTGCCCCGTGGACGTAGGCTATTTGCCGAACCAGAGTTTTCTTCGTAGCCGCCAACGAAGAAAAAGCAAAGGACTTGGGCGTGCAAGGCTGGGAAAAGACAGGAGCAAAAGGAGCGGCTACAGTTCAACGCAGAGACTTGGCGGAGTGGATTTCGGCAGCGTGAAAGATTTTTCGGCGTGCTGAAGGGAAATTCGGCAGAGGCTGAGTCGGCTGTTGTCTAGGGTTTTGTGTAGCCGTTTTTTTAGGGTTTTGACATCCTTTTTGAGAGAGATTTTGTGTGAGGGATCTGAGAGTTTGTGATAGGGTTTAGATTGTGAGATTGTAAACCCCAGTTGTATCTCTCCCTCTAATAGTAGATCTCCCCCCTCCTTGCCCCGTGGACGTAGGCTATTTGCCGAACCACGTAAAAGTTGTGTTCTTGTCGTAATTTGTAATAGCTTGTAGGATCCCTCGACAGGTCAGTCCTAGAACTGATGAGAGGAAGAGCCGATATCTCACTTGGTTGAGATATCCGCTTCAGATTCTTGTTTCCTTGGTGAGACATGAATTCTTATCGATCTAATCTCTCTTGTTGTGCTGCCGAAGTGCTGCCGAAATTTTCGCTGCGCACAACAGAAAATACTAGTTTTTATGCATGTGCACTGCACGTGGTTAAATATCAAAATGATTTAAATTTATATTTGTTTCATTACTATAAATAAGTCGGATTCATTTTTGAGTTCAAATATGTAAAATTGAATTATTAAATTTGCAATAATTTTTATTTAAACATTATAAAAAAATCGATGTTATGGACTTTTATGCTAAACTGGGATCAATATATTTAACTGAGATATCTTAATTGTCATTATAAACTTTAGTTCTAGCAATAAAGAATTTATATTTCTTATTGCATTAAAAACAGAATTGCGCAACATTTTGGGACATTATAAGCTCATGTTTTATAACACAATCTCAAAAAGTAAACATAAAAGAAAAGAAGTACAACAAACATGATATATATGTGTGTGTGTGTGTGTGTATGTATATATATATATATATATATATATATATATATATATATATATGAAAAAATAAACTACTGTTAGTTATAAGGAGGTGACCTCAGCGTTGGTGAATTATGAGTTGAGGAAGAATGTTGATGAGTCCTCCGAGAAGGCATCGGGAGATGCATTAGTAGTTCATGGTCGTGGTTCAAACCGAAGCAGGAGGTCGCGGTTTAGAGGTGCATATCGTGAGATTCGTAGGAATCAGTGTGCCTTTTGTAAAGAGGATGGACATTGGAAAGCCGAATGCCCAAAGTTAGATCGAGCCGAGAAGAATAAGGGGAAAGCTGTACAAGCTCCAGAGGTGAATGTTGTCAAGACTAGTGGCAACAATTCAGATTCGGATTCTTCGGGCTATTCGTTGTCTGCACTACCGTCAGTTTGTGTTGCCAACTCTACAGAGTGGATGTTGGATTCGGGTGCTTCATACCACGTTTGCCCTAGGAGGGATTGGTTCTCCAGCTTTCAGAAGTTGGAAAGAGAGGATGTTGTGCTCATGGGTAATGGACATGCATGCTCTATTGGTGGTATTGGTACCGTTCGGATTAAGATGAGTGACGGGATGGTGCGGGAGTTGGAAGAAGTGAGGTTCGTTCCACAGTTGTCGAAGAACATCATTTCACTAGGAGCTTTGGTGGCATCTGGCTATAAAGTGACCTTGGTGGATGCACGTTTGAAGGTCACATTGGGGTCCATGATTGTGATGAAGGGCGTCAGAAGGAGCAATTTGTATTATTTGCTCGGAAGCACGTCGATTGATAGGGAGATGACGACTTTATCAGATTCAACTAGACTGTGGCGTTGTTTGATGCTGGGTTATTTGATTGGTAATGCCGTACATAGGTTATTGAGGAGTGCTTTGACCTGCAGTTTGAAGTCCTGTGAACCCATTGGTATGAGCGAGAAGACCGAGATGGAGTTTGACACTTCTATTCATCATTCGAGGGGTTTTCTGAGGGGTGTTCATTCAGGCATTCGGGGGCCTTCCAAGGGAGCATCATTGGGAGGTAATAGGTATGTGGTTTCCGCAGTTGGGGATTGCTCTAGGCATTGGTGGGTTGCAACCAAGTCCCGTTGGTGTGAAGTCCTAGAAGCCCGCAACAAATTGAGGAAGTGTATTGGCAAAAAGGTGAAGGTACTCCAGTCTGATGTTAGAGGGAGGTACAAGAGGGACCTATACCTGCATTTGTGCCGAGCTCACGGAAATAGGAGACACTTCATTGGTGTGGAAACTTTGAGGCGACGTGATGAGATAGCAGATTTGGGGAGCTGTTCCTTTCTGGAGGAGGATCGACGGTTGATGTCGAGCATTGGCATTGGTGTGCGGGCTACGACATGTTTGGGCTATCTTATGTATAGGTTGCCGACGACTGCATGTAGAGATGTTGGATCTGGTGGAGCTGCTTCAGATTTTAGGTTGCGTCGGATGTTAGGCTACCCAGCACTTGGTCACATCGTGGATGTGAGATTTGATCCGATAGCACATTTAGGATTCAGAGGCGTGTTTGATTATCAGGTATTGGCTTCTGATTTTGTTCTGAGCAGGTATGTCACATTTAACTCTCGGCAGGTGGAGAGTGGTGATCAGATCTTTGGGACATCACAGCGGGTGGAGAGTGATGCTACTCTACGTTGGGTGGAGACTCCAGATCATACTGTATCATTTGGGATTCTAGCTGAGGTGACACAGATTGGGGATCATTTGGATTTGGATGCAGATGATGAGTGGAGTCCGTTGTCATGAGTCCGTTGCCATGACGTACTGGATGCAACAAGTGAGACATTTGTTTTGGTTAGTGTCGGCTCAGTTTTGGGAAAACTTCGCCGAGGTGAAGAATTGTAAACACGTGATGGGGGGGCCACCACATGAGCGAATGAGAAATCATCCCCTCGTTTCCGCGTGATTAGCAGGCCAGGCCCACCCGATCTTCACACTATAAATAATGGTGTGGTTTCCTAGGGCAACGTGGTGCAAGGCAGGAGTTTTCTTCGTAGCCGCCAACGAAGAAAAAGCAAAGGACTTGGGCGTGCAAGGCTGGGAAAAGACAGGAGCAAAAGGAGCGGCTACAGTTCAACGCAGAGACTTGGCGGCGTGGATTTCGGCAGCGTGAAAGATTTTTCGGCGTGAATAAGGGAAATTCGGCAGAGGCTGAGTTGGCTGTTGTCTAGGGTTTTGTGTAGCCGTTTTTTAGGGTTTTGGCATCCTTTTTGAGAGAGATTTTGTGTGAGGGATCTGAGAGTTTGTGAGAGGGTTTAGATTGTGAGATTGTAAACCCCAGTTGTATCTCTCCCTCTAATAGTAGATCTCCCCCCTCCTTGCCCCGTGGACGTAGGCAGTTTGCCGAACCACGTAAAAATTTATGTTATTGCCGTGATTTGTAATAGCTTGTAGGATCCCTCGACGCGCAGTCCTAGAGCTGACGAGAGGACCCTCGACGCGCAGTCCTAGAGCTGACGAGAGGAAGAGCTAATATCC